TCTATCTCATATATTAGTTTCACCTTTTAAGTTTCATTACTGAAATAAATGAACTTATGCACGATATTCTAATTTTTTGAGTTTCATCTGTAATTGTTGCTTTGGGTTACAGCTGGTCAACCAATGATTTTTCAGAACTGTTCCTATTTCACATTGTCAGTATGGGAAGTATAGTACTTTATTAGTTGGTATCCAAATCTCAGTTCTGCTTTTTCTTTCTCCATCTCCTTTTCTCTTTTGAGGAGCCTAAAGTCTCTGCCTGTAATTTCAATCTTTTGAAATCCATTGCATGTAAGTTTTTAAGTCTTTTTGACAACCTTACCCATAAATTAATACGCATGCAAAAAATTATGGAAACAGGCAGCTTTAGAAAAGAAAAATGGTGTTAGCAATTCTTGTAAAACACAGCTTCATAGGTGCTTCCGTATCTCAATTTCTGAGTTAATTTGAAGACTAAACAGTGGCTGATGTAAAGACGAGTGTTCAGTTGGAGAACGGAAGCATTCAGTAAAAGAATCTCCACAGACATTCAGTAAAAGAGGAGATAGAATTGCAGGAATGCTGTGGCAATGAGGTAATTTTATGGAAGTTATTAAAAAGGAGACAATGAAGAGAGAAATGCAGATATACTTGTGGGTTAAAAAAAATAGAAAAAGGGGAACATCTTTTTCTGCATTTCCTTCCATAGCCTTTTCTTCTGTATTAGGTTTTTAAATATACGTTCACTAGCTGTTTCTCATGATTCTGTGACCTATTTCAAATTACATGCAAATTAAATAGACAAATGTTTTAAAACGACATTTAAAATAGGGTTCACACAAAAATCTGTTAAATAATAATCATTTTACATTTAATTTGATTAAAGGAAGAAGTAACCACACTGGGATTTTTTTTTAACTGTGAAAAACAAAAGACAATTGTGGTATTTTAGAGATAAATTTATTATTACTTAGGTTTTTGTATATAACAGCCCACTTCAATACATGCCCACCGTCCAGAGTCCCTCTATGAGGGAGATGGTGGTCAAGAAGTAAATAAATAAAATTAACACATATTGCAATTTATGATGCATCTAATATTGTGAATTGTATCCAGAAAAGGCTATGCAACATTAGATCAGTGTAGGTATTCCTTCACTTACTACAACTGGAACCAAAATTTTGGTCACAACGAAGTGATCATTACGTGAACCATCACAAGATCAGACCCAATTCTACTACCATCTATACAACCTCCTTAATTATCATAGTCAGTAAGCAAATTAGGGTGTCGATAAGTGAATCAAGTGGTCCTTAAGTAAATCCGGCATCCTCAATTGACTTCGCTTGTTAGAAGCTGGCTGGCAATGCCACAAATTATGTTCACATGACTGCAACTCACTGTATCTGTTGTAAATGCGAGCCTGTTGCCAAGCACCAAGATTGCAATCAAATGACTCTGAGGATGGTGAAATTGTTGTCCCTTTCCTCTTTTGCCTTCAATCTTCCCCAACATCAGGGGCTTTTCCAATGAGTCCTCCCCTCTCATTTGGTGGTCAAAGTGTTTGAGCTTCAACTTCAGCATCTGTCCTTCCAAAGGATAGTCAAGGTTGATTTCCTTTAGGAACGAAGGGTATAGGCCATCTTTTAGTACAGTAGTTCAAAGTCAAAGTATTACTGACTGAGAGCCATGTTAAACAGGCAATGGGATCACTGACGGTGGGTAAAACCATGATATAAAAGCGGGTTCCTAGCATAATAGCTGGTGGGCAAGACAAAAAAAAATCAAAGACAAAAAATTATAGACAAAATAAAAAAAAACATTTTAACATTTTAAATTGATTTTGGTTGCTGCAAAAAAGGCTGCATGCAGCTCCCTGTGGACCAGGAAAGTCTACCCATGCTTTAAAGGGGGATATTGTAGGCTGTTCCCATGACATCTAATAAAGCAAGTCAGGTCTGAAGTACTTTCCTCTCTCAAACCCACATTTGATAGGAAGTTACAGAAGATTGCTCTTATTTGGACTTTTTGTTTCTTTATTTTTGATTATCCAAAATCAGTGTCTACATTATGCTCAATCTTAACCGATTTGTTTGCAGTCTCTCCTAAATAACCACTCTTCCTGTTGCTCTTTTTTGTTTGACTTTCGTATTTCTTATATAAGGGCAGGGCTATATACAGACATAATATACTGTTGTGTGATTCCATGAAACAAGTATACAGTGGGACCTTGGGTGCCGACGGTAGTCCGTTCCAGGACTTCGGTCGGCACCCTATTTGGTCGTGACCAGAAGCAAGACTGACTGTGTATGCGTGCACATACAAAAAAATGGTGTGGATGGGGAAATCATTGCGACTTTGATCGGCACCCGAGGATGTGTTCGTGACCTGAGTGAAACATTTAGCGGATGTTTAGGTCGGCACCCAATTTGGTTGTGGTCTGAGCTGTTCGTGACCCGCGGTCCCACTGTAATACAAAATAGAATTTGGAGCTAAATAAAATGCACAGCTCTGCCTTAGCACTTTGCATTAAAAGGACACATAGCTTTTAAAGACTGAGCCAATGATCCTTTACCCATTTTCAGCATACTAATTAACACATTGTCCCTTCTGTTTAAATTGTGGTTGTCTGACACAGGGCAATTGTGAATGTTTATGTACAAAACTGATGAATATCACAGCCAACTAGTATTCTATGAACTTAGTAAATGTGAAAACAGCAATATCTGCAAAAATGAGAAATTATAGAAATACCACAAGAGAATATGCACATGTAATACTCTGAAAAGAGTGCACGCTAGTGCATTTTAAAGTGCTGTATTAACACTCTGCATTTATCAGAATCATTAATGTTATACATTACCAAGTTTATGAGCACAGATTTGGGTTTCTCATTCCATGCCAATACAGTATCTAATGTTACAGTTATCAATCAGTTTCACTTGCTTCCATTCACAACATTTCAAGAACAGTAATATAAGTCACTTCTCAATAGATCTGCTACAATAGTAATTCTTTTCATTTTGATCCGTTGTATTAGCATATTCTAAAAAGGAAGCTCTTTTCATGGATAAGTCATTTTGTAGATAACACTTTGATTCATAAATTACTATATGTAAAAAATATATTTTGACTTTTGCTACTTCTCTGAAAGTTGGACCATAAGAAAGGCTGAAGGCCAAAAACATTGAGGCCTTTGAACTATGGTGCTGGGAGAAAATTCCTGCGAGCCTCTTGGACTGCAAGGCGATCAAACCGGTCAGTCCTANAGATATTGGGACACTGCTATCATGTATTCAGTCTTAGTCCTTCTTTTCATTAAACTAAACATACCCAATTCCAGCAACCCCTAAACTATCTTTTTTGCTCTTCTCTGTACTCTTTGTAGAATCTCAATATCTTGTTTACATTCCACACTTGGAATACTGCATGCAGTGACCAAAACTGCATGCAGTATTCCAAGTGTGGTTTTACCAAGCCATTATAGAGTGGTATTAACACTTCATGTGATATTGATTCTATTCCTCTATTAATGCAGCCTAGGACTGTATTGGCTTTTTCTGAAGCTGGAAATATAACCACATTTCTGTAGGGACTTATATTATAGCATGGCTGTACAGTATTGCAATGACCTTATCATAAAAAATAGCTTTTTCTTTCAGAAAGCAATCTCTTGGTTTTATTTATTTTTCAAAAAATCATTTTTGTCCTTTGGTCATTTATCTTTTACCATACTAATAATTCCACTTAATGCATAGTCTTTCAGATTCACATGAAATATGGAGACTGAATTGTCCCTTTTAGAATATGCATTTTATAGTTTTCTTAAATTTAGTTTTCTTGAATATAGTTTTACTCTTCAATTTTCCTTTGTAAAACAAAATTATAAATACTTTTAATCCTTATGAGTTTCTTTCAGATATGTCCTTTTTTCAGGTTTGTCCTTTATTTTTTTCCAACAAAATATGCTCAACCATAAGCCAAAGGATGGCTTATTGTTTAAATAAATGTTATAAGCAAGAGACTCCAAAAACTAATGTGGAGTAAACCTCTGGACAAAACAAAGTCATACTCTTATACAGAATGTTGTATGATACTCCAAAACTCTTCACCGTATCTGCAAAAGACCTACATCAACATTGCAAGAGTACTATAATCAATGTTGACATGATGGCATATGCAATATTGATGGACTTGCTTTAGAAAGCTCTTTGGAGATGCATTTCAGGTATCCTTAAAACCACAATTCCATTTATTGGTGAAAATTAATCTGAACGTACTCTGGCTAAATCATTGCTTTATGACATGTAACCTCCATAATGAAATCTGTATCTCTTTCAAAATACTGAAATATTTATCCTGATTAAAACAGCTAAGCAATGGAGGCTCACCACACAAAAAAGAATCAACATTTTCTGCAAAGAAACAAAAGGCAATAAATAAATTGATAAGCCAACATGATGCAAAGCACCAACTTCTAGAGACATATTTAACTGTGGGAACCTGTCATTACCATAATTAAATATGCTTCTAAAAGTTAGTGTTTTGCATCATATTGTCTTCAAAACCTATTTACTTGTTTACCGTATTTTTTGGAGTATAAGACACACCTTTTCCCACCAAAGAGAGTGAAAATCTGAGTGCATCTTATACACAGAATATAGCATTTTTGGCCTCCGGAAACCCCTCCCCCTTCGCAAAAATGGAGGTCCATAGGCTTTGGAGGTCCAAAGTGCTCCTGGGGACTGGGGAGGGCAAAAATGAGCAAAAGATTAGCCATTTTTTGCCCGTTTTGCTCTCCGCCCAGCCTCCAGGAACACTCTAGAAGCCTCCCAAAGCATATGCATCCCTTTATTTTTGCAAAAAATGGGCTGTTTCCCCCCCCCAGCCCCTAGGAGCACTCTACAAGCCTCCCAGAGCATATGCATGCCTTTTTTTTTTTTACAAAAAATGTGCCCATTTTTGTTAAAAATGGGCCATTTTTTGCTCGTTTTTGCCCCCCATCCCCCAGGAGGACTTTGAGAGTCTGAGAGGTCAAACTCTCTCTATGCCCCGTTTTTCACAAAAAAAAAAATGAGGCATGCAAAGTGTTTGGAAGGCCTGCAGAGTGCAAAAACTTTTTTTTTAAATTTACCTCTTCAAAATCTTGGTGCATCTTATACTCGGTGCATCTTATAGTGCAAAAAATACAGTATTTCTTTTTTAAAAAAATCAAGAAATGTAGGGTGCATTGTAGGTCGCATATGCCATATGGTCTAACTATGCACTGATCTTTGATATGAATTTCTAGCCAGGAAGACTGCTGCTGTGGCTATAATTATAAAAGTCCTAAACACAAGCACAAAAAAAAAATCCTGATCCAGCCTTTAGTTATTTGGAACTACTTACCAGAGAATGTAAACACTCACTTGGATTACATTAACTACAGATCATGAGCTGTGTTATCAGCCTGCAGTAGAAAGAGATGGATGAGAAGCAAGATTATTCATTCATTTATTACATTTATATGCTGGCCATCTCACTGTCAAGCCACTCTGGTAAATAACTTTATTACAGCTGAAACTCGAAAAATTAGAATATCGTGCAAAAGTTCATTTATTTCAGTAATGCAGCTTAAAAGGTGAAACTAATATATGAGATACTCATTACAAGCAAAGCAAGATAGTTCAAGCCATGATTTGTCATAATTGTGAT